GATGACCAACGGAGTTCCACAGGGTTCTGTGCTGGGATCTGTTGCACTCAACTTGTCCGCAAACATGGTAAAGTGAGTGACAGCAGGGATGTGGAGGAGTTTGCTGATGACACTAAGATAATCAAAGTAGCAAAAATGAAGGCTGACTGAAGAGCAGAAAAAAGATTTGTAGTCAACTGATAATAAAACAGCAGATGAAATGTAAATGCAGACAAACATGAAATGATGCATGTGGAAAACAAAGAACAGTCATACCATCACATATAAAATTACAGCCTTTGAACCAACCATAACCTCTTGGAGACCAATCTTGGGGTTAATGACAGATTCCTCATGGGGGTTTAATGCTTACAGGAGGTCAACAAAACAAATAAAATTCGGGAAAGTCCTGGGAAATAAACTTATGCAGGCATGCAATTCTATGATATGGCTGTAACTTAACTGCCATGTTCTGGTTACCTCATCATGAAAAAACGTACAGGGCACAGGACTGTAAAAAGTTCTGAGAAAAGCATTGTGGATGTCCAATGGTATAGAATAGCCTCTATATCAGAAAGCACCAAGTAAGCAAGGACTCTTAGAATGAATCACAGAATCAGAGAAAGGTTTGGGTTGGAAGGGACCTTAAAGATCATCTAGTTCCATCCCCGATGCCATGGGCAGGGACATCTGCTACTAGATCAGGTTGCTCAAAGCCCCGTCCAACCTGGCCTTGAACACTGCCAGGGAGGGGGCAGCCACCACTTCTCTGGGCAACCTGTTCCAGTGTCTCACCACCCTCACAGTTAAGAATTTCTTCGTTTTATCTATCCTCATTCTACCCTCTTTCAGTTTAAAAGTGTTACCCCTCTGCCATCACTCCCTGATAAATAGCCCCTCCCCATATTTCCTGTAGGCCCCCTTGAAGTACTGGAGGGTCACTATAAGGACTCCCTGGAGCCTTCTCTTCTCCAGGCTGAACAACCCCAACTCTCTCAGCCTGTCCTCATCGGGGAAGTGCTCCAGCCCCCTGATCATCTTCATGGCCTCCTCTGGACCTGCTCCAACAGGTACATGTCCTTTTTATGTTAGGGATCCCAGAGCTGGACACAGGACTCCAGGTGGGGTCTCAAGAGAGTGGAGTACGAGAATCACCTTCCTCGACCTACTGGCCACACTTCATGGTCACTGCAGCCAAGGCTGCCCTGGAGCTTCACACTCCCCATCAGCCCCTCTTGGTGAGAACAAAGTCCAGCATAGCACCTCTTCCCATTGGCTCCTCTGTCACTTGGAGAAGGAAGTTTTCATCAACAAATTCCAGGAACCTCCTGGATTGCTTATGCACTGCATTCTCTTCAGCGTGGAAAAGAGATAACTTGAAGAGGATACGATAAAGGTCTAGAAAGTCAGGAGTGGTGTGAAATTAATGACTAGGGATTAAATATTCATTTGACTTTTCAATATAAGAACTGGAAGGAATCAAATAAAGATAGTAAAGGCCAAATTCAAAACAAGCAAAGAGAATTATCTGTGCAATGGGTAGTTGCTATGACAACTACTTGCCAATGGATGTTTAATATGTTAGACGTTTATATGGGGTAGACTACAGAATTTCATGGAAAAGAAGTCCACTGAGGTTTATTTCACACAGAGAACCACAGCTGGCTGAGGAAGTTTCCAAACTAGAAAGAACTGGAGGTTTGTTAAGTATATACAGAAAGTATCATACACGCTTGCAGTGTTTTTACTGTTCTCTAGGCATCTGATTTTCACCACTGCCAAGTATGGATAGATAGTAGGCTGGATGAACCTTCCATGTGACCCAATGTGACTGTTCTTTTGCTAAATAGGCAATTGCTGCATCCAGTGATGTCAGATTCTTAACAAACATTTCCTAATTAAAAAAGTAAGCTACACTAAAGTATAAAGGGACTTTTCTATACAACAGACACAAACTTTTTTCTATGTGCATTTTAGTACCACACTCTGTGTTTGTGAACTTAAGGCTGAAAACAGACTCCTAACTGTACACTGATAAAAGATTACACAGAAGCTGGCAGGGCCCCAAAAGACCACCTAAGCTCAGGTAGTGTCTGACATACTGATAGAAGCTATGGCCCTTTTTTAGGCAATTGTTCTGTTCTAAAAGCATGCCCTCCTTGTGACTTATGACATTAACCACAGCCTGAGAAAGTCATCCTTTATATAGCCTATCTGAGTTTAGAGATGATAATGATCTGAGAGAGGGGAACAACATTTTGTAAAAAGATTTCTGGAGATGGGCAAAAGACTACAACGCTGGCTAGAAACAGAAGCATGCAAAGCTCATCCTGCAAGACAGGCTCCACAAAAACACTTCTGACAGCTTTCATGGCATCTGGCACCCACTTTTTCATTACTCCACACAAGTAAGCTCCAAAACCAACTGCAAGTGAAGTACAACAGAATGTGTACTTCAGATGTGGAGAAAAGCATCACAGTCCTACCTTGCAGATCCTACCTTTCCAATCTTCTGTATTCCTCTCCTTACCTAAGACTATGACACATGGAATTTAGCAAGTCTTGCCAACTCAATTTCCCCAGATGTCTTTCTCACAGAGTTAAATTACTACTCCTCTTACTCCTGACTCTTTTACCCAAAACAAGCTGAGAAAAGAAAAAAGAGCTGAAACTGCAGTGTGGTGAGAAGAACAGAGACTATTTGGGTGGCAGCTGTGGAATTCAGTGTGTGGTGTGGGAGCAAGTTATTAATCCTGTTTCCAGTGCTCACATTCTTATTTTCACTATATTTAATGTTTATTTTAAAAGTCACAGTTAGAAAGCACTTGAGAAAGTCCGAATGCTGGTTTTCGTTTAGTTTTTCCCCAGTTTGTTTCTAGCCGCCATGACTGCCAGTAAAAAAACCTGATCCCACGAACTTCGCAACCTGAAAATTCAGACAACATACACACTTCCTTTCTTAACATACCAGTTCTTAGTCCTGAGGATTTTTAATGTATTGAGTTAACAATACTGATTTATCTCCTCTTTGCTGCTTCTTCCCACAGCAGACAATTTTACTCACACTGCTGTTACTTGTTTTCTTTTCAACACATACCAACTCATGCTGTAACTCACTATCTGTCAGCATATTAAAAGAAAGATTAGCAGTGCCAGCTACACCTCAGGAAAAACATTTGCACTCCTCACAGCTCAAGTGTTTATTATATACTACAGAAAAAATGGTGCATTACATTATCCATGTCCCCTCTTCTTGTTTCTGCAGGGCTTCACTAAGCTGACAACTGACAGTTGCATTCTTGTTTAAAAACTGCAGTAAGAAATAATTATTCTGAAGACACTGCATATATAATCATCACAACATAATAACTTTTTTTAATACACCAGCTATTTCTTTACTAATTTGTATTTTGATAAAACAACTCTCAGTTTAACACAAAAAAGCAATGTTAATCTAGTTAAAGATATATTTTAGGACCACTTAATAAAGTAGAAAAATGAGAAACTAAATTCTGAACACTATCTGACAACAAACAATTTGAATTTATATATAACCCTACAATTCATTATGACACAAAGCTATTGAAGGAGGCTCTCTCGGAGCCTAGAAAAGTGCCCCATAAAATTACAGATGAAGATTGAGGGGAAGATGTTCCTCAAACTCCTTATTCTCAGTCCCATTATTTGTTGAGGTTTTAATACAGTGTTTACAAGGAAAAATAACTATAAATCTTGTAAAATATCATGCATTTGATATTTCTCATGTTATTTACATAGCATTTACATAGTGTTTTACTAAAGTGTCTTTGAAGATCATACAATGCAAGAGCAGCCTGAACCTAGAAATACTCAGATATGCTGAAGAAATGTTAATCAACAGACATTTAGAACAACAGAAACAACTACTTAATCTTCGTTCCTTTTCCATGTGTATTATCACAGAAAATAGGGAGGCAGGTAAACAGGAAAGGGAGAAATTATTTTTGTGTTTGGCAAGAGAAAGAATAGATTGTTCAGCATAGCTGATCTGGTTACCTTAATTATCTGCCTTTAACAATAGCAGCACAGAAGGCCTCCTTCCAACAATTCTTCAGGAATTACTAACCCTGGGATAAATTGTATAGGGTAACTAAATGTCCTCAAACTAGTTTAGATGCTGGAGCAGCCAAGAAAGCTCCTTCCCTTAAAACACATTAAAATAATTCTTAAATGTTCTGTGTTTTGGAACCCTGTTCCACCCATAAAAACTACTTTCTTCTTAAATCCTACCTGGCAGTAGAGCTGAGTAACTTGCTATACATGGGGCATTCCACTCTCACCAACATGGCAATCTTTAAAACTGTGATCCTGAACCAAACTCCTAGATCCTGGTGCTCCAGTAAATGTAGGAAAGATCACTATGATATGGCAGGACAATACAGCAACACCCGACCCTTGCAGTTCTAATGAAGTTGGTAGCAAGTACACTCTTACAGTTTTAATTTGTAATAAGAGGCATTTGGACAAACTCTAAACGTTTATTTCTAGGTGAATGTTCCAAATGTGGTATTTTAGGCAGATGCTTCTCTCTGGTAGAGGAGAGAGACATTCTGACACCTTAATAGAGTTATCAAGGAACAAATTTTCCTCTGCTCTTAAATTGTTTAATTGGAAAATTCACACTTCTTTTGCCAGGGAGGAGGGCAGGAGAAATCCAACCATTTCCTACTATTAAATATTCAAATAAACTATTTGCTTTAAGAAGCATTTTTTAAACCGAAGAAAAATAATTAAGTACTCAAAGGACTGTTTCTACACATGCAAAGGACAGACAATCAACTATCTGTTCTCTATATTGCTTTGAATTTTTAATCTAAATTATTTCATTTCAATTATTTACCCCTTAGAAATGCTGTCAACCATTTAAAAATTTTTATTTAGTAAATGCATAAAACTAGGTCACTGAAAACAAGCTTATACACAATAATACACAGACACATCAGAGGATTAATATATAAAAATCAAGAGATGAAAAAACTGACCTGCTGATTCTGGTGTTTGTTTAGTAAGGCTAAAAATAAGATGTAACATCTGGAGCAGTCTGCTAAAGCTCCACAGAAGTCATTGTAGGAAGAAAGTTTGCTACAAAGATACAAAAATAAAATATAAATGAATGAAAACACTTTTTTTCCACAAAAGCTTTTTTTTTTTAAAATCACTTTGCTTTTGACTCTCAGAGCTGTATTTTCCAACAAATAAAATGAATGCCAATACTCTGACTTCTAGTGGAGTCATATGCAGTTACATAAGAGCACAGCAGAAGTCTAGCTATCCTCGCTGCAGTGAATTACGGGAAGAAGCAAACATAAGGAGCTTCCCAACCTGCTTGCCATATGGGCACAGTATGCTAACGCTAGCACTTCTTAACGTAAAAGGAGAACTGTAATTTCAAGATGACATGGGAAGTCAGACAGGAGAGGAAATAAAGGGTCCCTTCCTATGGCATATCCAGTAGAGCCCAGCGACAGCACTAACAGAACACATCTCTGATCAGCAAATATGGAGAATGCGCCTTCTTGCAGTCATGATTTTATCTCTGTGTATTCCTTAACAGCTGCTTTGGTCCTATACTGCTCACCTTGACCATTACAAAAATAGAGAATTAGACATGCTTTGGTCATACCAGAAGTACTGCAATAATACAACAAACTAGGATAACCTCTTACTTCCCATGTAGTCAAAACAGCAAATATCTGTGTGTATGTTCAATTACAAACAATTATAACAAGATTTACAATTTAGAGAAATTAATAATCTGAACAGATTGAACATATTCTCTACAAAGAAACTGCCTAAAGTTACTGAGAGAAAAGAATAATTCTGTATTACCAGAAGACACAACAAAATTCAAAGCTGTGCTCTGTACTGCTCAGTATAATTTTTTTTGGTAACTGCAATTTCCAGAAAGCTAATTAAATTGATTTTATGGCTAATTTGTATCCTTGGAGCATGCAGTTCACTAAACTTAAGAAAAAAAAAATTAAGCAGTGGGAAACTTTAAATAAGACAAATTACTTTTGCTCCGTATTGAATTCTAGATCAAGTAAATGTCCTTGTCAGAATTACAGTGTAAGTATCGATTACATTTAATTACAAGCCCATACCCCACTTTTCAGGGCATTTTGCAAGTAAAAGAAATGTTCTCTCCTCAGAAGAAGTAAATACGCCCCAAGTGCTGTAATTATTGCTAGAACTCAACTCATTTTTAGGAACAAAATTAGAGACAGAGATGCGGACAAGGTTGGCATGGAAGTGGGAAAGCAATTCACATGCTATACAAGTAGCACAAATTGCAAAGGATCACATTTGCCTGTTTTAAGCTGTAGAGAGAAGGAATGACAGTCCCTTATGTAGTTGCTCTTCAAAGCCCAACCTGATCTTATCTAGCAAGGAGAATGTGATGGATAATTTGGAGGGGATGAATAGGAAAAGAAGTTCATAGCAGAACTTCAGTGAACACAGAGTCACAGGCACCATGACTCAATACAATAACAAGGCAGCAATGGCAAATACTTCACCCAGAATGACGTTCATAAATTGTGCTTATAATGCAACTCCTCCTGAAATTACAAACAGTTAATTTCACAGCTTCTTCAAAATCCTTAAATTGTTTGCAAGTCCATTTAGCACTGGACATGCAAGCTAGAAAGAATTCTGACTGAAAAACTATTCAGACTACAAAAGGATCTTTTTGGGTGATTCACTCGTACTGATCTCACTCTTAAAAAGCACATCTTGGGAAGCAGGCACTGAGCTGCTCATAAAACTGAGATTCTTCCAGCACTTCCATCTGCACAGGCAAGCCCTGATCCCGCAGATTAATCTCCTCACTCTGTGACAGCTCAAAACAATGAACACTGATCTTATTTTCTCTCTTTTGTATTTTATTTCACAATACACAGTCCCCGACATGATTTAAGCTTGTGTAATTTCTCTCACTCATTTTTTTTTAAAACCATGGCCTAAAATAGGATTAATAAATACTTAATAAATTTATGCAGCTTTAAAATATAAGCAATGGTAGTTCAAAAACCTCAGTCAGAATCTGTGGGATCACAGTATGACACAATACAACAAAAATACTTTTCACCGTTTGTATGGCTACAATGAAACAATTCTATCAGTATTAATAAAAGGCACAATTACCATACAAAAACATTAAAACCTACACAGAGCTTTTAAAAAACCCAATTCAACGTAAATCTCCCAATTTTAGTCCTCGATCCTGTCCTCTTTGGGGTCACTCGAAGCAGGAACACTGACTGCATGCAGAAATAGCTGTTTGTTTTCTGTACATACCTGAATATCCTGACAATATAGGTGCATACATCCTTATCATTCATACGCTGCTCTAGCGCCACACAGAGCTCAGAGACTGCACCGTTGCAAAGGAGCTGGCGCCTTGCCGGAGGTAAGTCAGCCAAGTTTCGTAAACTAGCTGTCAGCTGCATATAGAATATTTAAAGATTTATTAATCACAACCGTTTACAACAGAATCCACTGTGTTTTGAAAATTTAATAAGGCTCAGATCTCATTTATAACGTCTCAGGCAGCCTGAATGCCCTGTTAACATTCTGCAGCCGTGTATCTACCAATAAATTATACCAGGAAATGTGCAAGTAACAGAATTGTGTATACTGAAATAATTGTTTGAAAATGAAAGACTGATAATGGTCTTTGTCTGCATGTAACCTCTTCCTTTGAGGGAAACGTGATCTTTCATATATTTTTAAATCTTGCATGCATTTACACAACCATATACCAACTGGAAATTAGGGGAAATGCTGTGGATAAAGAGATTTTTTGTGTAAGATCTAATTTTGCAAATTTACATTCTTGCAAATTAATACTGATATATAATAGCTTTATTGATAATAATTATAGGCTGTAAATGAAGATGAACTGATTTTAAAAGACAATAACATTTATTTTGATTAATTTGAGACTTAATCAAGATCAAGAGAAATCCACTATTCAAACAGTACAAAAATGAAAAGCTTAAGTCCTCAGGTTTATTTTGGAGAAACCAAAATATTTTCAGAAGATACTGTTCTATTTCAAGCATAAAATATCTATCACTTGTAGATATGTAAAATGAATCAGCTATTGCATATTTTGAAATGTTCTGGTTCTCTTCCAAGGTAAGAGTATTCAAATGCCAAGGTCTGACAGGCTATGAATGATATGTAAGTTAACTGTTGATCTAAACCAGAACTTACTATAAAATTAATGTGAAGTCATTTAATCTAATGTGAATATGGGAAATCTTCAAATTTTTCTTATTCTAAGAGCAAGGTATTTAACTTCAATTTGGTTCTAAATGTAGTTTGGTAAGGCACAAAGACTATGCAAATTGTTTGTAATCACAAAAAACCTCTAGAAATTAAGTATTTTATCACCGAATTGGACTGCTTGTCTGATGATATGTAACGGCTAGTTTTAAAGGAAAAAAATCTGACGAAGAGCAGGTTAAGTTGTGTCTGAGGAGCTTTTGATCATAGGGTTCTATGCACTACTCTGTCCATTCTCCAGCAGCTTTCAAATCTGCTGCCCTACTTCAGAAGTGTGCACGTCTTTGATTACCACACGATGTTCTGTAATGGAACAATAGGAGAAGGAACAGCACATCAAAATGGAGAAGCAAGGTACAGAGGGGAAAAAAAAATAATATATGCTAATGTGAATGTGATATGTGAATAGATTTTACTTCAGCACTAAATATGAAATGTATGTTATATTCAGAATAAACAGAAACTGAACCTATAGAAGCCATTTGCCTCATATTGATCACATTTTAAGAAGATACCTGGAAGTTTTTGCAAAAAATACGTTTCCAGATATGTATTCTTTCACAAGTCACGATGCTTCAAAAGTCAACACAATACTTAAGAAATATTTTAAAATTAACATATTCTGATCAAATACTTTGCTATTCAATAGTTTTGGAGGAAAAACTCCTGCCAAATGGAAGAGATGCAGAAGACTCCATTCAGCACTCCACAAGATGTTCACAGTCAACCTAGGATGATACTTGTTGAGCTCTAGCTAAACTTCACAATAAAGTTAAGGATAAACCACATATTAAAAATGTTGTTCAAACCCAGACCAGGGCTTTAACTGCAGAAAAGAGACTTACATATTAGATAATTTTAAAAAATAGTATCTTTACTCATATATAACGGTTCAGAGGTCTCCAAAAAGAGTAAAATTTTTCACTGCCTGAGACAGTTAGACTGTTCGAAAAATTCTATTAAGAGGCATCCTGACACAAAGACAGATTGGAAAGGAAAAGCAATACAAAATAACATATACGCTTAAATGTGTGAGACAATGAAATTCAGAAGTTCATAAAGTATATACCCACAAAAGAACAGTTAGTACGCAAGTGAAACTTGAAGAGTACAAATTAAAAAATAGTGGAAGCTATCCAGAGAGCAGATGAATTCAAGAGATATTATGATTGCTTCAAGCAGACACCATGATTCAGGGAGAAATGCGTAACAATTGGCTTTAGCAATCCCCACCAGCCCGAATCCTTACGTTGCCATGTGAAAGATCAAATTCACCCAAACAGAAAATTTAACAGCAGACAAATGCTATTTTTAAAGACTACGACATTTAAGTGCTTTTCAATTAAGGAACATGAAGTACTTGTTAAGTCTTGTCAGTGACACTTCAAAAGCCTTGCCTTTTGCATAAGCATTACCATATTCTGTATAAATAGACTCTGATTGTTAGGTGAAGCAACATAAAACGAGTCAAAGATGACCTTGGTTTCATGTCCTCTAGTAAGGAAAAATAATAATGATTACAAACATTTTTATTCTTGTACTGTGGGACTTCTGCATAAAATCCATTGTGTAACAACAAAGAAATCAGAGAGGGACTGTATTACCACAAAAAGGACCTGTCATGATTACATAAAACACTGCCATCTGGTGATTGTGCAATTATACCGTTAAAGAATGAAGAGTTGGTCCCAGTTAACTAAGATACTTCAGTTATCAGGATTAAGAGATGGCAGAGCTTCCTTCAGACACTACTGTGAGAATTTAAGGTGTTCTCCTCCAATATAATTTGCTCTCTATTCCTGAAGACATGTATTTATTCATTATTTCTGTATATCACTGGATATTTGATCTTCTGCTACCGGTTAAAGTATGCCATGAACACTTCCTTTATTCTGAAGACATGAATCAAAGAAGAAACTTTCTTTGATGCTATATCCCTGAAAACAGAACTATTCCTACATCTGTCTAAGATGACTGAACAATTAGGTCACGTGGAAGAAATGGTGCACATTAATGTAGATTTGTTGATGAAACTGATATGAGAAAGTCACACAGGAATTCCATAGCAGCAGGAATCACCACTTTTGTCACAAGAAAAATAAAGTATCTGTACTGCTATGGAAGAGAATACAAACAAGCGAAACAGCAACCTCAGCCAGAGATAGTTGTCATATTGACTTTTCCACAAAATACTCAAGGCCTTCTTAGAAACAGCCAGTCTATTCAAACTGTACAAAACAGTTTTGCTACACTTCCAATCATAGTAAAAACAACACAGATAATAATGACACCACACTCATACCCCCAAAAGAAAGTGTAAAATGTGACATTTTCCTTTCAAACATTTGCAAATTAAACCCTCAATCTAAAACCCTAAATTTATCCACATACAAATAATGGAAGAAAAAAAAATTTCTGCAAAGTTGTGGGGAAGTTCAGACAGCTAACCAAACAGCTGAAAATAATCTGATTCATTAGCTTTATTACTTGGACATAATTTGTTATTTTTAAATGTCCCAACTGGCAAAAACTTCTTTTTATATCTATTTAACATAAATTTCCACCTCTTTCTACTCAACAGGATTCCCATTATATGTATTATAGGATTAATGCCAACAGCAGCCAGCAAATGTCAGTAAAGTAATATGCTTTGCTTTTAACCATCCCCTTCCTGCTCTCAGAAGGATGAATATTTTTAAACCATATAAACATGAAAAGACATACAGGATACATATCTGTAATTTAGGTTTTAAAATGCCTACCAAAACTGCAACCTAAATTTCCACCCACTGACATGACTGTACAGCTTCCGTATGTGAGGCATCATACTCTACTTCTTCATCCAAACTTACTTTTATAGTTTAGGTGTGTTCACCTTGCAAATTACACTGAGAATGGAACATGTTCTGGACCCCCAATCCTTCCTCAATAGTTTTCAAAAGGGGGTTTCTAACTAAACTAATAGCTTAAGGCAGCACTGCAGTAATATTGGGACTTACAAAGTCTAACTAGCAGCATTCAAGGAAAATATAGTCACTAAAATCTTGCTTATGTGCAGACCTGATGTTTGTACACCTTCTCTGAAAAAGAAGGCTTGGAAATCCCATATACAATTTTTGTATAGAATATAAACTGTAATATCAACAAAATGGAACAGACGATTTTAGAGTTGTTTGGAGAATTCACAGTGCCACAAAAAAGTTAACATTCCCAATTCTAAAGATAGAACTGTATAAAAGAGAATTTTGTAATTCATATAGGAACTTAAGGATGACATGACCAGTTAGGAAAGAAAATAAGAACATGACAAGGCACAAGCAGAATCAGTTTGTATTTATTATTTCAGTTTAAAGAATTTAGACAGGGAACACATTTTTATCTATTTACTATAATATCCAGAACATTGTCAGCACCATAAAATAATAAGAAACTGGTTTTATTAGGTACCTAAAAATATTTCTATTACCTTCAGAATTTCTAAAGCCTTTAAAACTGACTACACAAAAATATCTATGATAATTGAATTTAGGCCCTGAACAACTTCATTTAAACTTCTTTAAAAAAATCCTGTTCAAATATAGGTACAACTCTGTCAGTGGCACACAGGGTTAGCTTATCTCCTCTAATTAAATTTTTAATTTGCCCTTGAAGTATGTACTTTTAGAAATAAAAATAAATGCTAACCTGGACTAATAGGTGACCCAAGTTGGAGAAATGTGTGTCATTTTCCTTTATATTATTAATCTGCTTCACTAATTGCAGAAACATTTCAACAGCTCCTTTGTTGGCCATTTCATTAAGTAGTACTGCATTTCCAGACATGAATTTTATAGCTCCCATGCAATACAGGAGAGCTTCATTGTTTTTTTGTAGATCTTCAGTTCTCAGGACCTCCAACAAACAATCTAAAAGGAAAATCATTATTCAGAAAGCCAAATACTAACATTTATTTTTAATACAGTCCAGTCATTGAAGAGATTAACAACTGGGAAAAAAACTCAAATTGAATTCTTACATTTCTAGTAAGTGGGCTAGAAAAATTGGGTATTTGGATTGAAACCAAGAAACAATTATTGATGAATAAGAGAATGGGCTTGACTTTTGTTCTTCCAGGCTTGAAGAACCAGCACCAGTTGTAAACACATAGCAGTAATCACTGAAATCATCCATCAAGATTTGCAAAAGTTATTCTGTGTGCCTGGAATTTTGTGTACTAAACTTGAGATATTCTAAAGAGGTTTATTCCCACTGCTTCCTTAAAAATCAAATGTTTTAAAGCACCTCAAATGGAGCACTAAAAAGCACAGATGCCTAATTCGAATCTGATATTTGAAGCCTGTTCCTAGCCTTTTTAGATTTACTTTTTATGTAGGTAAAGTTACTGTAACAGTTTTGCTTTATGTTACCACTGTCAGATATCTGAAATGTGAAAACTAACAGTTGTTAGCACAAGCCCAATGTACTTTTCACAGTCAAATTGAGATATTCTGAATTTGGTGGGTGTATCTTATATAAATAAGTAATCCTAACCAATTTTATTCTTCTGAATTTCTAGTAACTGATTTAAAATAACATTTACTTATGCTTCCTGTGTTCTATCCAGTTTAATAAAAACATTCTCCCACCTCATTAAACTTAGATTTCTAAAGCTTTTTCTGTCTCAACTCAGGTTGAAACTCTCCAAGTATATGGGTGTATATGGATGAAGTACACACACTCTAGGCTCTTGTCCAAACTCTCACCACCCTCACCAACTGCCAAGTGGTCAGATAAATCACTTGGGTTGTGGTGATGTGAGAAATCAGTTTACACAGATATACACATATGCTTTAACTTATGCACATGCAGCAATTGCAAGTTCAAGGCCTACATTAATAAAAACATAATGAAGTTTTAATGAAAGGAATGACCATCAATCAATACCAATTATCATTCATACACTGTAATTTTCTTCATATTTATCATATTTGAAAGGGGTGTATGTGTGTGTATGACACAAATACAGTTACAATCATGAAAGAGATCTTAGAGTCGTTGCTGACGATTCTCCAAAACCATTGGCTCAATGTGCAGCAGCAGCTAAAAAAAGCCAATGACTGTTCTCAATATCCTTTCTGGTGATGGGCAACAACACAGACAGCATTATTTCACTTCTTTAAAAATTGGTGCAGACACATGTTGACTTCTGTAGACAGTTTTGTTCTGTACATCTCAAGAAGGATCTACTGGAGTTGGAATGGGTACGGAGAAGGGCTACTAAAACAACTGAGAGAATGACACAGTATCCTTTCAAAGAGAGAGCTATAAGGCTGAGATGCCTCAGTCTGAAGAGGAGAAGGCAGAGGCTATGTGATATGACTGTGGTTTAAAAAAAAAAATCATGAAAGTGGAGGGTAAGCTGACTGTAGAAACTCTTACAAATCCCGCAGAACTACAGGCAGGGGCACAATGAAAAGTGGATAGGTTTAAAACAGCAGACAGAGAACTTTTGGAACTTGTTGCTCTATGAGATTGTAGAGGCAGACAGAAGTTCAAAAAGGAATTCGACAAATTAAGGGACAAAAGATCTATAAAAAGAGACTAAAAAAAATTAAGCAGGGATGTACCATCTAATGTCCTGATATAATGTAACAACTCTGGACACTGGGGTAGAACAGAGGAAATGGATCACACAAAAAACGTAGGCTTCCGTGCTCTCCCTAAACAGCATCCCCTATAGGCATCACTAGGCACAGAATACTGGACTAGATGAACCACTAATTTGAACCACTAGGCAATTTTCAGTGTATGACTAAGTTAACTCTGAGAATGTTTCCTGAAAATGATCAATCTAACTACTGAGTTTCAATATCTAACTTAGATCCAAGAACAGAATACATACCCAATAATCTATCATTTTGAATGATGTAATCATTTTTTTCATTCCTGCAAATTTTAAATGCAAGCTTACAAACATGGAGAAGATTTTTTCCATCCACTTTCATCTGCCAATAAAGTAAGAGACATTAAAAATCACAACTAAAATCTACATACAAAAATGCACCATAACATTTTACAAGTTCAGACACCATGGCAAACTTGTATTCTCACAGAACTATTAAACTCCAGCTGAAACCCTGACAGTACAATGAGCCAAACAAATGTTTGCAAAATTAAAAGACTCTGAAACCTAGCTAGTTTAAGCTCTGTTTAGCAAACTGTGCTGACTGACTTTAAAATAACAGAGGATATATAAACTTTTTATGTACTTTCTGCAGGTAATATATCAAAAACTTGTATGTTTTTTTTCTCTTAATTCATTCTTACAAAAAATACTGCACAAGACTCATGGTCTGGCATCCATGGCCATACTGCAAAGAACTCCAGTACAATAGTACATTTCATAACGAAAGTTATAATCAAATATCAGAAAACAAGATCTTATGATGTACTAATGGTCACTGAGAGATCATGGAAGGGAAGATAAAAGTGTTAAACATTCAATGACAAATCTCTTCCTTTTCTCTGCAATTCAAGATCAATTTTTTCCCTTGTTCATGATTTTTAAAAGATTCCACAGAAAAATGTAACAGAATTATTTTTTTAAAAAATAAGCACCACTTAACATCTAAGTAGCATCTGAATACATAATTATATCTTCTGATTAAAATAACACACACTACCTTAAAGGAGAACTGCCTGCCCCCAATGGACACACACACAAATTAGTAAAATGTCTACAAGACAATGCCAGCTGGTATCCTTTTACCAGTGTCCATACATACTTAATAGAAGTTGAACCAATAGGTTCAAAAGCACAAACTTAACTGATAGTTTTAATTGGAAATACTAGATAAAGGGATAATTACTCTTCCTCTCTTCAAAAAAACCCTGGTTTAGTATTTTCAGATAAAGGTGTTTAATACTGTCAAGATATTATTCAAAAACTAAGCTTTATTTCTACGTGTGATTTTTTAAATTACTGGGGTTTTTAAATCCCTGCATGTGTATCCCAGCTTAGGACACTGTCTCTTTTCCATGCCTAAGCAATATTCCTGCCACCATACACAAGCTATCCTATTTTGTGTCCCTCCTTCCTCCCCTATATGTCATTTCTCTGCAAAAAATAGGCTCTAACAAGCACTGATCTGGATGAATGGGAGACTAGTATTCGTATAGCAAGAAAATGTGCTTAGTAAAGGGTTAGTTTAGACACAGTTTAGAAGTATAAAATGAAAAATTAAATATAAGTTGTAATTCATGATTTTGAGCTTCATATTCTACCAATCAGCATTTTAAAACACTTACAGCCAGAATAATCTTTGCCAGCTTCAGGCAAAGCGGATCTGAATCAACATCTACAAGTTTATATAATGTCTTCAGAAGCACACTTCTTCTTTTAAATCTTTTTCCAAGCATATTCCCTTCATTCAAGGCTTGATAGAGCTTGGTGCAAGCCAGACAAAGATTTTCTACATTGTCTTCTACTTGAAGAGGGTGGGAAGGGAGAGAAAAATTAAAAATAATTATCAGTGCCACCTCTTTCAGAGCATCTCAGTAGACAAAGACACAGAACAAAATAAAGAATGGGTTGCACAACAACAAAAATAAGGCACCCAATAAATCTCTTAAAATGGTAACATGATCCTCAAAAACGGTTTTATTCTGCTCTTTCAAAACGAAGAGACTCAAACCAAGAAATCACAGAGCCAAAATAATACCTAAAGCTAAAATGAAACTCACCTTTAACGCTTAATGATCAGATTGACCAAATGTCTACCAGGAAACTGTGAATCTGAATATATTCTTTAAACAGCTCCACCAAACATTACAAAAAGAGACAGTTAAGGAACTGAATTTCTTTCTGCCCACGTGCATAACCTAATGCATAAACGTTGCTGGGATTAAGAACAAGTGAATGTAATAACTCGTTACAACTCTCCAATGCATAGTAGAGGTGCAAGATATATTTGAATGGACCATTGGCCTATTGACAAAAGAATCATCTACCTCCTAACCTAAGTCACTCAGACACTATTTAAAAAATACAAAAATAAAACCTGCAGTAAATTATTACAGAATCTGCATCACAAACAATGGAACCATGTACATTTTTACTTTAGAGAGAAAGGTCTTGCCTGTTTTTAAAATTCAAGAGTGATTGGGTTTTCTCCTTTTCTTACATTTGCTTCTGTCTGTAAAATGACACTAATAAAGCACCATCTAAACCCACTTAAACTGCCTGTATAAACTCTGCGTTTACTCAGGATGTACTTCACAGCTGAAATAAGAGTCATATTCAGGGAAGCAAGGCACTTGTGATGAAATACATGTGGACAGGAAGTTCTGACAAAAAACATTATATCTAAGGCCCCAAACCTGTAGGCAGATTCAGGGACCTACCTCTCCTGCTGAACAGTGCCTGGAAGCTCTCCATTTGCAGTCATCATACTCAAGTAACAACAATGGCTATTCCATTTCTACTCCCATCAGAGCAGAAAATTTAACACATTTTAGCATGATTCTAAACCCTCTGCTCCAGTAAGCAGTGGCACTTACAGGAGTGGCAAGGAACTGAAATTGAAAGGTCTCCACCCCACTTCATCAAAATTAACAACAACAAAAATCATTCACCACTCACCCCATGGGGAATTTCCGAATCTTATCCTCCCTTAAGCACTACAACGTAACAAAATAAAGTGTTTGCTCCTGTGACGGATGCACTCAACCCCTTAACCAAACTAGCATTAGTTTGGTACAGGCTCCAAACAATATAAAGGCCTGAACCTTAGCCGGACCAAGAACTCCTCTAGTTTCAACCTGTTCTCTGGAAACCCACAAAGCAGAGTGACACAGTGAGCACTGATGCATATGATGATGGAACACCAATCCTACGATTAACACATGAATAGCAGGTGGCTTTTCCAAGGCTCATTTATCAAGCAGGAAAGAAAGTTGTGGGTGAAAGGAATCTCATGCATACCTTTCCCATTGCATGTAATATGACTACAAGCCAACCACTTTATTCCATAAATATGTCAGTTTAAGTGAGTCGTCTTTGAGCTCTCCCTGCTAGGCACTGTGGCTGCATGGTGGTGATCCCCCCTTGAGCTGGGACACCTCTCAAGGTTGCTCCTCGAGGCAGAGAGACCTTTTACTACTGGAAGATCTTTGGTAAGTGACTGATAGCATGCTGAATCAATACAAATTAAACATTACTAATACTAATGAAACATTACTAATCCATGTAGCTACTCAATATTAGTTATTATAAACTTTGTATAGATAATTAGACATAAACTGTTGTCCAAGTCTGAGACTATGATTGCACCTGGCTGCACCTAAGCTCCATCAGGAGTTTAGAAAGGAAGGGGGTTCCACTCCAAACCTTGTGAAGAAACTGGAGAGTCTTCCTTACCCTTTTACATCTCCAGTCTCTGTGTGATTGAGTCTAACTTGATTCTAACTCAATTTTCCTTTGTATGTTTCTTCTATGCAGTAATTAATAAGGTGAACCTTGTCATCAAACTTACTGAACCTTGGTAAACTACTGTTAAACAGCACCAAACTTACTGAACCACCTCAATAAAACATACTGCTGCTTCTCTCCTTTAAGTGAGGTGCATTCCACTCATATGAGACAAACTGGCGTAGTTGTAAGGATCCTAAACCAGGATTCACTACAGCACCTCTAGAAAAAAAGAGACCTCAGGGTTCTATTTGTTTTTGTTATGTAACAACTGTCTCAAATGCATGATATTCATAAGATTTTAGACAATAATTAATTTCCCGGTTAAACTTCAGATTTCTTTTTGCGTGGAAAGTTTTCTGCAAATGTTTTTGAGGGAGAAAGAGGAAGAAAAAGACTCTTCTATTAATATATTAAAAACTAAATGTGACTTAAATGCATGTATAGGGATTTAGCCAAAATGTATGAAGCAAGTGACTGCACACAAAATTTAAAAATATTGAATTACCAACAGACCCTCTAAAAACATTAAAATTATGGAATTCTAATATTCACTGTGATAGGGAGAACTGCAATTGTGCAGTAGACAGCCTAAATAAAGCAATACAACACACAGCTGCAGGAGACAACGATGCAATTCAATTACAATCTGTGTGAATATTCGAGAAGCAGCAGAACTCTTCACTTTAAGGTTTTTGCAGTACAACGTTCAATCAACCAGTGAGAAAGTACCATTAGATAATTTCACCTATTAGTAGAAAAACCAAGCCATAATCAAGTTTTTTTAAAAAAATCTAAAAAAACCCCAACACGCTAAACAAATCAAGTAAAGACTGAGGAAAAGGTGCATGAAAATTGATTTTGCTTAGTTACATTCATGACAAGGGAGAGACATAATTAGATTTTACCTCTAAATAATATTTTGCTTACCTTCAAAGAAAATCTCACTGTGCAAAACTTTAACTCAGTGGCTCATATTTGACAATCTCAGCAATAAGCAAGGAAAATAAGAAGTTGCATAGCTTTTCAAATCCTGATCACTGTTTTTCTAGAAATCAGTGACAGATGTGGGAATGAGAATCCTGTCTTTTTAAAATAATGACATATTTTGGGAATCACTCAGTACCATACAGGTGCTTCATACTCATCAACATCTGCTAAATTATGCAAAAAATTTTCTAATCTGTACCATCTGATAACAAACACTGCAAAAGATCCTGTAAAACAGAATCAATCCCCTAATTTGACACTCGCTTTTAACCACTTGTAAAAACAAATCTACTTTCTATATTCCCACCATTCAAATAAATATAATGTCTATAGAAGACAACTAAACAACCTTTTGAATGAAACATGGAAATGGATTTCAATCTTTCAAGCCATACTTAATTTACTCAATTTTGCTTCAATATTCTGGGTCATTACATTCTTTTCTGAGACATCTAACACTTTAAGCAGAAATGAAAACTATCATTAAGATTTCCTTAGCTTTCTAAAAATAATTGAGGCCTCCAATACAGTTCACGCTTAAAACAGTGAATCCGTGCAATACTTTATTCTTACAAATATTACCTCTTCACTGACTGCTAAGCTGGCAGAGATATGTTGTCTAAAATAAGGTAATTTAATCAGACAAGATCTTCTCTAAACCAGGATTTTTTTAATAGAATTACAGAATGGTTGAGGTTGGAAGGGTCCTCTGGAGGTCATCTAGTCCAAACCCCACTCAAGCTGGGCCATCTACAGATGGTTGCCCAGGCCAGTTTTGCACTGCAAAGTCACTGAACATAGGAAAGCATAAAAGGCTAGATAGTCCAACTACTGTTAAGCTTTTGTAGTAAACACAAATGAATCCCATGTTTCCTGCAGGAAAATATACAGGAAAATATACCCTCTCAAGAACAGTTTTACTCACCTTTTTCCAGTTCATGAAGAATTGGTAGAATCTTTACATGCCAAAAGATTTCTTCCTCTTCCAATTCGTTTATTCTTGTTTCATCCTCTGAGCCTTCAAAATACATACAAAACAAAAGCGCATATTCAGTGAAGGTTTCAACTTCTACACAAATACACAGCTACAAATACTTTATTCATTAGTCAGATAAAAAAAGAAAATGTCAAATTTTGCTATATTCTGGGTTATTTTACCTATTCAAGCTTTTGTTCTTATTTACATTTTCTCAAAAACAAAAGTTTCAAACAAAACTGGATGGATAAATGTTTTGATATGTAAAGCTGTACTGTAAAGCCAGATTTGCTTTTGCTTGCTGACATTAATGTTGCATTTGATCGCTGAATTGGAAGGTAATGGCTACTTTTACATCAACACGTCCTACTATTTTTCAGCTCTGTGTCCACGTGACAGCTTATTGTGTGTTAAAAAATATCCATATTCTAGACAATCCTCTAGGATTGTACAATTTTATCTAATACACATGCACAATATTACACTAAGCTTGGTTCACTGACTCTTTAATCAGTTAGGAAAAAATAGTCTTGTTACTACATCCTGTTACCAATTCTAATCACTTCATGCAATTAGTTTTGCAAACTTCTCGACTAAGTTTTTGTAAAATGCACGTTTCCCCCCTAGTCTTTGTTACATTAAACAATTTCTCACAGAGCATCTTGGGAAATGAACAGTAAACTACAGATATCTGGAAAGATGTTTTCCTTCCAATAAGCATGTCAGAAACCTCGAGGGCAACCAACTTCTAGTTTTCTTGGCCACACAACCAATTTCTTCCACAGTGACTGAGAAAGAGCTACTGTTCACTATCAGAAACCTTGTCCACAAAGAGTTTTAAACAATATTTCAGCTTTTTTTATACTTTGCTTCAAAAAGAAAAGACAAAATATGTCTATCAGCAGACATCAATTTAAAAATCGGTAGACCAAAAAATCAGCAGTCTGGAATTCTGGAAACAAGACTGGGAACATGGATCTGGTTTTAGATTGGTCAAGGGAGTTAGTGAAACATGATTTATTAAAAAATGGATTCCAGGATTGACTTTCATATGGATGCAGTATAACTGGGAATTATTCCAACTTGCTGAACATCCTTTTCACATTCACCTGGCACTATGTAAAGCGACAGAATTCTGGTCTCAAACACAGGCACACTATAGTTAGGAGTTTTACAACTTGAGTTTTAAAGGATCTAACAACCCTACAAGCTGCATGTAGGCATATTTTCTGACTTCAAGATTAGGTTAAGCTCCTTATTTTACAGGCAACCGAAGTTGTTGTTAGAAAGATGGGGTTTGGTTTGTTTGTTTGTTTTTTTTTAAACAGGGAAATTAGAAGTCACACAACTCCACTAAAAAATACGAAGAAAGCCATTAGGACTAGAATATATGCATTTTAAGTGACAGGTTTGTCAGAAAGTGTGTTCTACCGTTCACTACTAGCTCTTTCATTTAAATGACAATATAAATTCTTATCATCATCATTATCAAGCACAATACTATACTACATGAGAACATTGATATTGAGAGGTATGCGTTATGAGAACAGTATTTCAGACATTAAAAAAATGACTGTCTACTGAGCATTACTTGGAACAGTGAAACAATTAAAAACTTGCTGATTATTTTAAAAGCTAGCTCTTTAAAATAATATCCAGACTCTGTCTGTGTATCTGTTTTAACTTTAACTGTCTACCTGTATTTTACACAGAATGAATCTATTAATTATATTTGAACAGATTATACAATGATGCTGTTTCATAAGTAATAAACTAGTATGTTATTACAATAACTATATATTGTTGGTATGTGCATATATACATATTGGAAGTATTTCTTAGGTAATGTTATTATTATTTTGCAGACCTTTATTTTCTAGATCAAATACGTTAATAGTCTTATTGAGATTGATGAGAAGCTTAATTAATAACCACTATGCAGCATTTCCAGTGAAGTGAAAGTTCTGCTCCAGATAATGTAAGAACACAGCTGAAGTAAGAACATTAGGATAGTTTGCACTGTTTCTTCCTGCCACAAAACCCACATATTGCCTCAATTATTTATTTTCTTTCCAATTTGTAGCTACCTCTCTTAAAGTGAAAGATGAGACTGATTTTCTAACTACACATATGCTTAACTTTATTTATCAAGAAATAGAATACTTTATGTACTTGCAGTTATGACCAAACTTTTCACTAAAAAAAAAAAAATTAGCAAAGACATTCAATTTTTAGTTCAGAACAAAAAGAATTGATTTTTTGTGCCACTCTGCTGCAGTTGTCTTGCAAACATCAGAAAAATACAGCAACCTAAAAAGTCATAATGGCATAATTTAAAAAAAAAAAAATCACTTGTAATTAGGAAAAAAAATATATTTTTGCTAAAAAATATTAATCCTAGCAATAAGAATGAACAGGAAAAACATTATTATGAAGAAAAGCAACATTAATAAATTGTAAACTTGCATGTGTCTCAGTCCTGGGGGATTTTTAAGGTGCTGATTAAAAGTTAAGGCACTAGCTGTATTTAAAATATTGCAGAAGCTGTCCTGAACCTTCTAATCAAGCAAATCACAATTCAACAGCAAAAATACTCAAGCAAAAGAATTCAGCAAGTTGAAGTTCATTGTCTCAGTTTTTCATAGGTCTTAACCACAGCTTTGCATTCTGGTCAAAAAAAAAAAAAAAAATCACTAATCAGTCTACATTTATTGGTTGCTGTTTTTAGCATGTAAATACAAGAGCCTTAGCAACACTGAGCTTTCAAAAGCTGTGTACTGCCTGACTTATCATGTTTAGCCTTTTCATGGAATAATGAGTGGCTATGAATATATCAATATTAAAACAGTCTACCTCCTCTCTAAAATGTGAAAGTATAAACAAAAATCATATCAGAAAATAGAAATAATCTCTAAATGAACACTCCCCCCCAGACCCCACTACAGAGGAGAAATGATTGAGAATTCCTACTGCTATCCCACTGTTTATTCTGAGATTAAAGATGAAGTATGCACAAACTAAGGAAGTGACATGATGTTAAAAAAAGCAGATATAAAAAGAAACAATCCTAATAACACATGTTTTTTTCAACACCAAATAAAATAGCACAAATAAATTAAAAGGCCTATAAACAGAGAAAATAGCCCCACAGAATACTAACTCCCATGACATGGTAAATACTCTCAGCTCCTCTGAAGGGAATGAAAGCAGAGCACATTACAGTCTTTGCCAGAATAATAATAATGCAACTTCTCAGTTCTAGAAAAATAGTAATAAAACATAATAGCAGAGTAGAAACTTCAGGTTTCCATACCAGACTCTCAAATATGCACTTGCCATGTATGAAACGTGCCAGCTATGAAGAAGTATTAATTAAAATCTGTTATGTAAAATTAGCAAAATGCATCCCTACAGGGCAATCCAGAATCTGTATCTTCAGATAATATACCTTGACCCTTCTGTGCAGCTATGTCAGTTTACAAAAAGTGATGATCAAACAAGGTGTTAATGGATTGGCAAATTCTTAAGCTTACATATGGGAAAAAATAGAGAAAATATCAACAGATTTTTAGAGTGAAGACGTCTTGAATATTGTTTCTCTTTACCAACAACAGTAAAAAAACTCTATACAGCTAGAAAACCAAAAATATTGTTCAGTGAATAAATAAGAGATCTTCAAATCACAAAAAGTATTTGACTGTATTTCACTTTTTTTTTACTGGAGATTGAAATGTCTTACAAAGTACCTGTTACTCTTCTCTTCCAGCCTGTACTCCTTGGCCATGATGAACTAGTGTCAGGCTTTTTCATCTCGTCACTAAAAGATACAGTATAGATACACAAAAAGTATATCAGAATACAGTGCTCAAAATGCTCCTTTCTCCACAATGTACTCAGTATGATATTTGCATATTAATAACTAACTGGAAAAGATTATGAGTTATTTTATTAAGTTAGTAGGTTATGTGCTCATTAAAAATGACCTAAAAATACAACTTCCTCTGGTATGTATTACAGAAAGCTCCTTCAGAAATACTGACATATTTACACCACAAGAGGTCACCATTATGGAACACAAAACCTAAAGCATTTCCACTTGTACAATAAAGCTTAAATTTGAATGAAACTAAACTGAGAAAGAGCCAATTTTTATTTCATCATCCGTTTCATTAACTGCATATAAACTCAACTAGCTTGAAACTGTACGTTCATCCATTCACATGGACAGTGATTTCTTCTGATAGAATTAACACTTTTAAAAGATTTAATGAGAAGAATTTTCAAAGAAACAAACACTTTATTAACCTTTAATGTAAGTATTAGAATTTCTAGGTCTTCCTGTGAACTACTGCTAACTACATAGTGATCACTAGTTCTGCTAGAACACCTATGTTGCCATTTCTTTGTAAAGCAACAGTAATACTGTAATTCCTGTTGATTGTATGATTAGTCTTTTTTTGGCCAGAGAAAACTACCACATACATCTGTGAGAAATCTGTTCTGTTTGCCCAGCTACACATTCAAGCAGCACTGATCTAAAAGAAATACACAGACTCTCTTTGCTATTAAACAGGAATCTTCCCTCCTTTAAATTCTGTACTGAAGACAAAGGTCTTAATCTATTTTTCCTATTCTCAGTGTATGCTTAATTTAACACTTCTTATTCCATTTATAGTTCATGTACAAATACAACCTAATCTCCTAAATTTCCTTCCAAAGTTAACAGTATTGTGCTAGCAATGTTATTTCATAACCTGTTAATTTAGTTGCTATAAGGCTTAAAGCTAAACTGTTGTTTAAGTGGTTTGCTGGAACGGCGCCTAAATCCTGTCTGCCAGTCCAGACAGAAGATGTAAGTCATCCTATCAACAGATGGAGACAGAATAAAAGACAAAGCTCTTGTAAGATCACTTCTCTACAAAAGGGACTGGATAGCTCACTGTGATCAGTCAAAAATTTCCCAAGCAATCACATTACAGAGGAACACTTGCTTCATTATGGCTAACAAGTGAATAATGCTTTCTTTTTACAGCATGAGGATTTAAGTGCTCCAAAATCCAAATGCTTACATAAACTATCTTGAAATTATTTCAGCATATATGGCAATTCCTACTCCTCTGGGGAAGCAATGTTTTTTTTAAAAAAATAAGCAAGTGTTTCATCTCTACCCTAAAATAGGCTGACATCTGTAAGAAAGAGGGTTTCTACAGCACACATTAAATACAGTCCAGTATTTGGTTCCATTTATGCACATACCTTGTCCTACAAACTTTGAAAGTTTAAGAAATGATTCTATGAGGTTCAGCCATCCTTGAAATCAAGACTATAACCTGAAAGGATGCTGGATAAAGAAGAGAACAACAACTTTAGTCACCTAATACTAACCCAGCTATATTCAGAAATCTGAATTGTATGTAGGCATGATGATACTATCTGCCTACATGAATATGGATGTCTTGAGTTTGCTTTCCTCAGAAGAAGAGTTTTGTAACTATATCCTGTCTGTGCCTCTTCCCCTAAAATGTAAATCCACAGAATGAATCCAAGAAACCTTAACAAAGACAATCCTGCAAGTTTTGTAGGAAACAAAAGCAGCTGAATAGAAAAGACACTGAAGCAAAGGACATGGTAACCTGAACGCTTATCAGATAGAAACACCACATATGAGAGATAAAGGGTAAGACCATGTCAAAGTTTGTAAAAAAAAAAAGTTTGGTTGGAACCTACGATTTCTTAAACACCACTATCAACCAGTTTAGAGATCTATGTGAATAGGAAAGCAGATTGCTGTACTGCTGGTATTCACAGAATTATCTGTACTTTTGGGAAACATCCTCATAAGTTAAACAGCTTAACTGGAACTCTCATTATTTTCAGAAAAAGAATACACTGAATACATACATAAATGAGAATGACTGATAGGCAGGCTTATCTTTAGGGAGTATGTACAATTTATGAATTTTGGGAAAGATTATAAAATCCCTTTATGTATCTTCACCATGCTGCCAACTCCATTTCAGTTACAGAGACTTTTCCTTCTTTGTTATCTTTTCACTTTCACGTAGGGCTGAAACTTAAGCAGCAATATCTTGTTAAGAACTATGCAGTTAAAATGTAATCAGCCTACTCTAAAAAATAAGTTACCTACTATTGAAGGGAACTGGCTTGTCAAGGGAGTGGTTGCCTTGGAAACAAAGTCAATTGGCAGAAATCTGATCATCTGATAAGGGACTCATCAAGAAATCAACTGACAGAGGCTCTGATGATTTACAGAGGAAAAAGAACTTGGCAACTGGATCATCTCTATCCTTCTCATATAAGGAAGATCATAGTAGCCCATATGAGGAACATGGCTTGCTTGAACATACATAGACTATGAGGACTTCAAAAGGGACCAGCATTGCTGAACACATAGAGTGTTCAGTATTTTTCCCTTGTGAAAGAACGTATAATTAAGTGAAAACTGCATTTCTTCAGGAACTCTACTATTTAGATGCTTACTTGCCTGTTCTTGACATTAACCCCTTGTTAATGGTAAATCTGCAAGCTCTCATCTTCAGTGGTATTCCAGGGAAAATTACATTCCTAAGAACTGCATCCCAGAGGCAAAGAATTGGACTAGCTCACTCCAGAGAAGCTGCATGCAACAGCAAGGTCTGCTTCTCAAACGTGAGTGTGAGATCCCAACAGAGGAATAGCACTTGGGCTCTTTCCTCATATTGCAGAGCCTTAAACATCTGAGAATCTGGGTACCTCTTTACTTGTAAAACAGAGTCTGGCAGCAGGCCTGATTTTTGGGCCACACCTTGCCATACAGTTAGACCCTTAGCATGGTCACTGCTACAGTTTTAGCACAAGAAAGGTAGTACTTTCCTTGACAAATGCCTGGGCACAGGGCACAGACAAACAAGAGTTAGGGATCTTCCCAGCCAATACTTTGTGTGTAGTAGGGAGAGGGTTAAAAATACTTTCATTGTATTAACATAACCCATGACACAGCAGTTGGCCACCAAGACAGAGACTAACTCCTTTGTTTAATTTTTATTAATCATTAGTACAGATGTAGCCCTGGTGCCCCACCAATTGTTTAGTTACCAGTTAAGAGGGACGCAGCCTAATAGCATCAAGTTAATGCTTCGCTATGGATTTGTCTGTAACAAGCACCTTTGATCAGTGAGGTAGCAAAGCCTAACTAAGAAGAAGAGAGAACATGATCATTTCTAAATTGTCAAACTTAAAGGCATTACCTCTAGATACTACCCTCTCCTCATGGTAAGGTTCTTGTAACACCTACATATTCTTATAACTTTGGGAGGCAAAACTAGAAAATACGAAGTGGAAGAACGGAGAAGCACCGTAACTGAGATAGTGTAATAAAGGATGAAGAATATGAGGGTTAGTTTTAAAAGAGAAGAGTAGGAATAACACGGAATGAGCAAAAGAGCAGTGGATAAGCCCCATACTACCTTGCTTCTGCAAGTGCCAGGATCTCACACAACACTGCTTCTCCTGACATTATAAACCTCTTCTTTTGGACACATGTAAACTGAATCTGTGGACTCTCTCTCCTGAAGTACGGATTGGAACTGGGACTACTCCATGTCAACTGGAATCTGAACAGTCTCACAAAGGCAGAGACCTAATCACATGCAGACAGTGCATAATGTACCCTGAGTAAACGCTGTGAGGAAGCCATACACAGTAGACACTTGCTGGTGTCTGGAAATACATTTCTTTTCCATTTTAAACAAGGAATGAAGATTAATTACCAACTTTGTGATCCGGAAGATAACAAGATGCTGCAGAGCACCCTAACTTTGTATTTATAGGTATCTTTTGTTGGCAAATTCCACATGACTGCTTAATACAACTTTTTTAGGGTTGAGGGTGGTTGAAGACATCAGAACCTCCAAACTGGTGGTGGTCAATTGACAGAAATAGAATATTAGGCTTAACATCCACAGACTTTATGGAGACTGACTAACAAAACACCATTTTCTCTCAGTCAGCTCTACACAAAAGTTTACAAATAGTAGTGTATCTCAAACATCAGCAACACTTAGAAAAGATAACTTGGAAATATGCTTGAAAAAACACAGAGCACTAACTTCTGAAGGCATCACCTGCATGAACTACAATACTACTAAAATTTACACAACATACATTTATATACATTTTATAAAAATATGAAACAGAACATGGTCTAGTTAGTCCAAAAGCAATTCTTTGACTAACTCCTTTGAGTGTATCAGAAGAAGACATAAAACTGATAAGTACAGACACTCACAGAAAAATCTCTTCAGAAATTCCTTCCTGATAAGCAGCCTTAGTCTGTGTTGCCACCATGTGAAAGATCTCTTATCATCCATGTGCTCTTGATATAATGTCGGCCTCATTGCTAACTTCTAGTAGCATTTTCTAAAGTAAAGTAGTATTTAGTTGGGGGTTAGGATTGAGTTTATTTTTAAATAAATTTCTAAGGCATTTGAGTTTATTTCTTCTCAATTTCCTTTTACTTCTCTGATGCACTTAAGTTAGAAAAATGTAATTGTAAGCATACAATTTGGACACATCTATATCTGCTGAGCATTTTCTCTATCTGTAGAACCACAGTTCTAATCTTCTAAATTCCTTCCTTGTAAACAAATCTAAGCCCCTGGTAGTTTAATTGTTTGTCCTTAGTGCTCTTTATTTTTGTCTTTATTCTGATAAGGTAAAAACTAGTCATACTTAATTTAAAAGTACACTCGACATTTATGTAACAAAAATATATAAAAACTATAATAGTTCACCCTGAAAGTCCATCTTGCTCAGTGT